ATTTCTTCTTTATCCACACATTTCATTCTCTCTTTGTTGTCTTTCTTTTTGCAGACTCCCTCGCTCTTGAAGCGTGCCGGCACGGACAAGCTGCGCGAGGTCTTCCTGAAGTACGCCTCTCTCCAGAAGAATGGGGAGCACTACATGACCAGCGAGGACTTTGTGCGCAAGTTTCTGGGTCTCTTTACGGAATCTGCATTTAACGACGTAAGTACGGCGGGAGCTCTGGCTGCACACGGGTCATTGCAAGGTTATTTAGCATAGTTCCTACGTCCGATAAGGCCGTATCTTATCGCCAGATACCAAACATAGCCACTGCCACTGCCACCCCATGGGCGCATAAATCAAATCCCTGGCTCCCAACTCTGAATCACGGCTGACCTTGACCCACCCGCGAAGCTAGAAATAAAGAACATAGAAATAACCCGCCGGCAATCACTTGACTGCCTCGTGCCCGCCGCAGCGCCAACGTCACAGATTCTATTTTAATGGTTCCGCTTATCAGGTTTATGGCCTGAGAACCGATTCGAACCCGATCGTAGATGCCCCCGCCGATGCCGCCAATGGAACTGATTCAATCAGGTGCCGAAGTCTGCGGGGGCAGTTTCTTTTACGGCCCCCGTTTATCTCCCCATTATAGGGTGACTACCGGTCTAATGTCCAATTAAATAATAAGATTAACCTTTTATTTAGGGGTAAAAATATCAAGAAAATAATAGCCAAGACATCGCCATTCATTTGTAAACTTTTAATCTGGTATTCTAATATCTTCATAACACTATTCCACTTCCGGGAGATCTTTTAATAGAAGTTAGACTTTACCTATCCATATCTTATCTTACCTTTCTTCAATACCATTTCGATCTTATTAAAATAATCCATAATTCCTCTTTCTCTCTTGACAGGAATCGGTCCGGCTCTTAGCTGGCATTGCTGATACCAGCAAGGATGGTCTCATCTCATTCTCTGAGTTCCAGGCCTTCGAGGGCCTGCTATGCAAACCCGATGCCCTCTACAGGACCGCCTTTCAGTTGTTCGATAGGAAGGGCAATGGCACCGTTTCATTTGGTAGGAAATAAACCCAAAATTCTTTACCATACATTGTAATTAATATATATATTCTTCATTCACAGCTGATTTTGCTGAAGTCGTACAAAAAACCGAACTGCACTCAAAGATACCTTTTAGCTTAGACGGACCCTTCATTAAGCGCTACTTTGGTGATGTGAGTGAGGAAAAATCACAATGTCAAATAGTACATAATTCTAATCTGTATTTTGCATTCCCCGCCTGGCAGAAGAAGCAACGCCTTATCAACTATGCTGAGTTCACGCAGCTACTCCACGACTTCCACGAGGAGCATGCAATGGAGGCCTTTCGCACCAGGGATCCAGCTGGCACTGGGTTCATCTCACCCTTGGACTTCCAGGACATAATCGTTAAGGTCAAGCGGCATTTACTGACCCCCGGCGTCAAGGATAACCTGGTTTCGGTAGCTATCTGATGGATATATTTGGGAAATCTTTTTTTCTAATGAGTTCTTTCCATTCCGCCAGGTCACCGAGGGTCACAAAGTGAGCTTCCCGTATTTCATGGCATTTACCTCGCTGCTGAACAACATGGAACTGATTAAGCAAGTCTACCTGCACGCCACCGAGGGCAGTCGCACGGATATGGTCACCAAGGACCAGATTCTCCAAGCCGCCCAGACCATGAGTCAGATCACGCCGCTGGAGGTCGATATTCTATTCGATCTCGCCGGTGCCGTCCACCAAGCAGGGTGAGTCCTTCAACATGGAGAGCCTAGGGATTTAGTGTTGCCAACTTGTGATTTGTGAAAAAAACGTAGATACATTTGCATTTCCTTTTAAATAGTTTTATAAATTGTGCAATTATCTTTTGCCTTAACAATACAGGAAAATGATATTTTATATTTCATTAATTATTAATTAGGTAGTGCAATAGAGATTCATAGTTTTTTTCCAATTTTATAAAGGTTAAATAATTAGCTAATTTATTATTCCGTACAAATTTCATCACTTACTTGGAGTTTTCCTTAAAATATTGTCTGATTTATCTCATGTTAACTGGCGCTTGTTTTGTATATTTTCTCTTTGTGTGTCTCCCTTTCTCATTTTCTCTCCGCTGCACTCGCAATTCTCATTCCTTTCTCCGCTGCCAGCTGGTGGAAGCGCAGGAGAAAGATAGCTCCAAATAGGCAAGTGATATTGTCCTTCCCCAGCCTGAGTTTTGCTTTGTTTTTGTTCGTTTATCGATCCACCTCCAAAGAATCCCCGCCCTGAACCTAACCCAGTTGGTGTCTCTTAGTTACTCCCTTTTCTTTATTTTTTAAAAATATTAATTAATTCTTTTGAAATCCCTCATTTCTGCAGCCGCATCGACTACAGTGACCTGAGCAACATCGCACCCGAGCACTATACCAAGCATATCACACCTCGTCTAGCCGATATCAAGGTGGTGGAGAGTGCGGCCAATCGGTCTGCCTTTATTCAGATCCTGGAGAGCTCCTACCGCTTCACCCTTGGCTCCTTTGCGGGCGGTAAGATTGCTACTGAGAGTCCTTGGACACATATTTATAATATCTTGTAACTCCAGCTGTGGGCGCCACCGTGGTCTATCCCATCGATCTCGTCAAGACTCGAATGCAGAACCAGCGAGCGGGCTCCTACATCGGTGAAGTGGCCTACAGGAACTCATGGGATTGCTTTAAGAAGGTAAGAACCAAAAGCTAGGCTTCAGAAATATAAAATTTCTAACTCTGTCCCATCTTCATCTTCCCAGGTTATCCGTCACGAAGGCGTCCTTGGCCTTTACCGAGGCCTGCTGCCCCAGCTGCTGGGTGTGGCGCCGGAGAAGGCCATCAAGCTGACGATGAACGATTTGGTGAGGGACAAGTTCACGGACAAAAAGGGCAACATTCCTACCTGGGCCGAGGTTCTGGCCGGAGGAGTTGCCGGTGGCTCACAGGTTGTGTTCACCAATCCTCTGGAGATTGTAAAGATTCGACTTCAAGTGGCCGGTGAGATTGCCAGCGGGTCCAAGATCAGAGCCTGGTCTGTGGTCAAGGAACTGGGACTCTTTGGTCTCTACAAGGGAGCCAGGGCCTGTTTGCTGCGTGATGTTCCCTTCTCGGCCATCTACTTCCCGACCTATGCCCACGTCAAGGCCATGATGGCCGACAAGGACGGCTACAATCACCCGCTTACCCTGCTGGCCGCCGGTGCCATTGCTGGTGTTCCAGCCGCCTCGCTCGTCACACCCGCCGACGTTATCAAGACCCGTCTTCAGGTGGTGGCCCGGTCTGGGCAGACAACATATACGGGGGTTTGGGATGCCACCAAGAAGATCATGGCCGAGGAAGGACCACGTGCCTTCTGGAAGGGAACGGCAGGTAAGCAGCAAGGAAGAAAAAATAGAATTAAAATATGTATTAATTGATGTCTCCCCGCTCAGCCCGTGTGTTCCGTTCGTCGCCACAGTTCGGTGTGACCTTGGTGACCTATGAGCTGCTGCAGCGCCTCTTCTACGTGGACTTTGGCGGCAGCCAGCCCAAGGGATCGGAGGCGCACAAGATTGCCAGTCCCATAGAGACGGCGGCGGCAAAGACCACCTTCGAGAACCTCGATCACATCGGCGGCTATCGAGCAGCAGTTCCGCTCCTGGCCGGCGTAGAGTCCAAGTTCGGCCTGTATCTGCCGCGTTTCGGCCGCGGAGTTGCCGCTGGAACACCCACGACGACGACGACGACTGGATCCTGATTATACTGGCGTCACCGCCTGCCCAGCGCTACGTAGTCGATGGGATGAGCAAAAGTAGCAGCGACCAGATGAGAGGGGATATATTTTTTGCTAGGACGCGTTTACACAAAATACACACAGAAGCACTGAGGATATTTCTAACAAGAATCGGATCAGGGATCAGGGATCTGGAGCAGCGCATAATCTATTGTACTATTGTATCTGAAAAGCAGGGACGAAAGCCACGGACCCTGCGGCAGCCGGCTCTGAGCAACTGTTTTTACCACACCCAAAAATAAATAAGCAGAAAATGATAATTGTAAAAGCTATTAAAAAATATAGAAACGATTTTAGCGGGTGCATCAATATATATTTAGGCAAGTGTAGAACTGTTTTTTGTAAACTTTGTTAACTAGTTTAAAGTCTAGAGCAACTACCAATCACACTGAACGTCAACTTTTGCACTCAATGGAACTATTAAAGCGTATACCTTCTAATCTTAGTACGAATTTGTTCAAAACAATTATCAAAGCAAAGGAAATGCAATGAATGACCTCTTAGCTAATAAATATTAAACAAATTTAAAAATAAACTTGGTTTTTTAAATGGAAAGAAATGAAAAAGACCACTTATCCTTAATTGAGGAGAAAGCATTTATGGATTTAAAATCTTTGAAATCGTAAGGGTTCATGCCTTCAAATAATTTCAATATTGTAGTTTTCTCATACCTCATTATCTTCCATAAATACCTATAATCTTTAACATCTTAAAAAGGAAATTAATCTCCGCTTTCGGTCTCAAACTAAGAGTTACCTTTACCCACTTTGTCTTGAACTAGTCCACCGGATTTTAGGATCCGCCCCCTTGAAAGCTGCTGGCCAGCTCAATCGAGCGTCTAATGCGTGGCCAACTGTCGACAACAAAGGGTCGAAACGGATTTGATTAGAATCGTGCGTTTGCAAATCGCTGTTGACATGTTAATTTGAGGCTCCAGCCCAGTTGCCTTTCTAGGTTGCCCAGACTCGGTTTCGAAGTCACCAACAACTAACCGTAGACCATGACCAATGTCAAAGCCAAGGCGAACCGTTAGAGATCCGAGAAGAGGCTTCCCACATCTGCCCTAATGACCGGGTGCACTGGACTGGAGATCGGTTTCCAATCACTGATCAGCGATGGACATAAAAAGTCCAAGACCCAGGCCGAAATTGATGCAGTTTCGTTTTGAAATTCGAAGGGAAAACAATGCAAGTGCAGTGCAGTCTGATTGTGTTTTTACTCGGAGCTTGCCTCCTGATCGATCAGTATGTGTCCGGAGAGAATAAAACATGGATACCCCATCTCAAGAAGTTGCAGAGAGATCTACAAGAGTGCTATCAGTCTGGTGTCAGCCAGAGTCTGTGGTCATGTTTCCGTTCGAGGAGTCTAAACATCTTTGAGGGTATTATGACGGCTCCAGAGATACCCATTTACGATGGAGTTCGTCTGGTGATTGCCTTAGATGCTGGCAATAATTCATCAAGTTCTGAAGATGAACGCAAGGATTTAAAGCATTTGACCTTCTTCGACCAATTGGCTGTGAGTCTGGCCAAGGGCTTGACCACTCACACACTTCAGGTGAACCTAGGAAAACTCACAGAGCGATATCTCAGCAGTGGTTCGTCCAAGATATCTTCCATTACTTTGAAAATATTATTATCAATATGTCTTTTAGAGACTTCCACCGCCGATCAAGTGGGTAGTGCTCGGGTGAGGCGTCATCGCTACAACATGATCATCACCATGATGTTTGGAGTCACCGCTTTGGGAGCCATCTTGGTGCCCATGGGCTTCCAGATGCTGTCCATAGTGAGCGGCAAGGCTCTATTGCTGGCCAAGATGGCTCTGTTACTGGCCTCTATAAATGGATTAAAGAGGGTAAATATTATTTTCTCATTCTCAATGATCTCTTTCTGAATATCTTACATTTTTGTCACAGGTTGCCAACAGTGGCCTTCACTATGGACTCTATCATGTGCCAGGGGAGCATTTGGGAGGCTACTATGACAGAGGGGATGTGAATCATCCCAGGAATGTGCCCATTCCAGTAGCTGTAGCCCCTTCCCTGGATATGGGGCTATAAAGAGAGGATAACTCTTCACTTTTAGATAGTTTGTTTGAATAAAAATTAAAATCTTGAATCAATTGATTAATTAAAATAAAAATCTTCAAAAGATTATTAAAAATTTTAGTCTTTGCTATTCTAAAATATTAATAAAAGTCCAAGCAATCTATGAGCAACACTTAAATGTCCACTTTGGAAATAAATAATATATGAGCCTTGTTCAATTAATATTATTTAAAATTGGGACTTAGTTCTTAATAAAATATATTTAGTTAGTTTTAGGATAGTTTAAATATAAAACCGCCTTTCCATTTAAAAAGTTTTCCCAAGAGCTTTTCCTTTTCCCTATCTACGCTGGCAATGCCTCAACATAAAACTCACCAGAAAAGCCAAGTATGGTGAAAATCAAAGCAGCGGCAAGTATTTCAAATTTCTTCAATGAAAATCAAATGAAAATAGAACCTTTCAAGAAAACAAATATATATGATAATGGAAAAAGATTCTAAACAAACTGCAGGAAAAACTTTATAAAACTTTACAAACAAAATGCTCGTCAATAGCTGATAGAAATACCTCACAAGAAAAGTGACAGGGCAAAACAATCAACTGAAAAACCCCCTTTCAGGACGACCGCCTGAGAGTGGCTATAAAAGGAAATGCGGCGCTGATAAGGGCCAACACTCGGTCGTTGTGCGGCAGCGTTGACGCATCGTCCTCGTCGTCGTCCTGCAACGGTTTCTTGGTTTCTTGGTTTTTTTCCCAAAAACAAATTAAAACGGTTTCCCCGGCGCCATTCAAGCCCGCATCAAGTATACGCAGAGTGTGCCTAATTCCACGCTCTAATGAAGTTATAGGGTGCGTGATTCCTGTGCTAATCTCTGGTCAGCCCAAGGATCAAAAGGAGTCGCTCCGGTTTTCGACGGTTAATTGAAAAGTAGCCTCCAGACTTTAGCTTAAAAATCAACCCGCGGGTAAAGGAAATTTTGTTTTTTGGTTCCAAGAATCGGAAGTCGCGATGAAGTTGGTCGTGTATCTTTATTTGTCCATGATTGTGCTGGGCGTTCAGGTGAGTCGGTGTTGAAATCTAAACATCCAAAAAGTTATTGAGATATATAAAGCTATAGAAGTGTATTCCAAGAAATCGTGTTTGTTTGCCGTGAATTTGAAATCAATGGGAAAGTTAATATACAACAAAAGAATTAAAATAAAATACATTTTGTTGCCAACTTTTGAAGATTTTTTCAACTTATTTCTATATTTTCAAATACCAGAAGTGACAACAATATTTTTATTAAATTAAATTAAAAAGAGGTGTCCAAAGTAATGCTTTAAAATCAGTATAAATTCATTTACCTTTGCAAAGAAAGAACCGTATTTTAAGTGATTTAAAATATTTTGCAAAATTCTGTGACATCCCTGTAACTTATATTTTATTAAACTTGGATTTGTATAAATTCCCCAACTAATACAATTTCTCTCCGTGTAAACCTAGGTGACAGGCACTCTCTTGTAACACGTTGTAATTCGATCAACAAGTTGGGTGCCAACTTTTGTTTCCATGTTTTTTTCTAATGACTTGATCTAATTTGTTCCGGCCGAGATTTTGGACCTGATTGATTGATTCTCGCTGTCGCAGTTATTGGTAAACTTTTGGCATCCCTGTCGGCCTGGTTGTTGTCTTAGGCTCGACCAGATTACCTTCATTAGACTCACGTTTCAGACCCGGCTAGTAATCAATGGAAGGCAGGCCAAGCGGGTCAGCGGGTCAAACTTTCGGCCGGCGCAAATGAATATTTAATTCGATTTGGTAATGGGGGATAATCGGGGGAAAAGTTTTCCCTGACATTTGGCTGCAGCGGAACATAAATAGAATTCGTGCTGACAAATTGGCTAATTATGATGGAGACCCTTTCCCCAAGTCAGATAAGATAGCAGCCGCCAAAAATAACCAATCGAATCCATCTTCTTTTTGGAAAAAAAGGGTTTTGCCAATATATAGGCGGTGGATTACACTGGGAAAAATGTATTTATTTGACTGGAAGTCGTGGAGTCTTAAATATACTTGATATTTGAAATATATACATTTGAGTATTTATAATTCGAAGTAATTTTTATATGTAAAACAGAATGCGCAAGTTCCCAAAACACAAAAAGCAACAAATTTTACGACTTTAATAAATTCCCCAACAGTGAAACCCGGAACCCTATAATATATGCCATAAAATATTATTTTAAATTTGTGTACATCAAGATGGCAAGCCACAAATAGAATCCATTTCCATATGACAGTACTCCGTGACGATGGGCGATTTGCGTTGTATTTCTATGCCCCCAGCATATCCAGCCAGCCATCCATCAATTGCAGTAGCTCTCGAACTGTTTGCTTAATGGCAACATTGTGGGCCAAGTCAAGAGGCCAGGAATCCACATCAATGGCCAAGGATAAATGTAAATTTCGCACCTGCCATTGAGGCTTGGTGGGCGTTTGGAAAACCCAATGAGAAAAACCCAAACGCAGACCATTCTCACCAGAGCAGGGCAATTGCAATGAAACTGCAACTCTGCAGGCGACACCCATTCTTTGTGTGGTCACTCACTCCGACATGGATGAGATTTTCCTACGATTTTGCCAGCGCTTTCCGCTGAGCTTTCCCCCCCGGCAACCTATCCGCTTCCTGCTCGATTTCCAGCAAGAGTCCTGCACTTGATGTGCGCTTAATGTTGACACCGACGCTTTGGCACTTTACAGCCATTTAAGCCGGGACATGACAGCCACACCCCTGCTGTCCCATTTCCGTCCGGCATTTCCCCTGTTCTTTCCGCTTATCCCGTCTCTGCCTTCGTCGCCATTGCTTATTTTGTACTCTGGCAACAACATGTGAGAACGACAACAATTAAACCATGAATGTCACCGGGTGCTTGGCTTCAGGGAAAAGAGTTTTCAACGGGGAAAAGGGGAATATAAGCTACTGACTCTAATTGTTGCAACCACAAATAGGGTCGTAAGGTGAAACTGTATCTCTAAGTGGGATATAGCGCTTTTATCCCTCTAATTTCCATGCATTTTCCTTTGCCAATCTGGAATATATAACCTGCAGAAGATAACTTTAGTGAACTTATGAAGAATGGTTCCGTAATTGAGTCTAGCAAGAAGGGCAGCCTCAACCACATGTCTTGATGAATTTTCTAGCATCGGTTATGGGTTTCCCCCCAAAAAATTTCCATAAATTGCCCTTCGTCATGTAACGACAGCAGCCGCGCGAAATTTATGCCGGTTATTCAATTCCGTCCTTACGGAACTCTCTCTCTCTTGCATAAATCTGCACTGCAATGTGTCTGTTCAATAAAGATCGAGGGGGCAGAAGTGGATGCCCCGGCATTTAGGGCAGAACTAATTTCCGTGCTGGAAATGCGGAGAAACGCCTGCTGCCATGGGTGTTAGATTCCCATATATCGAAATCGATTCGAGTTTGCCTTGCGTCAACTTTTTGGCCAAATTGCATTTTACAGTTCATTTGCGGTTGCGGGAAATTAATTAAATGATTAAAGCCAGAAAAACACACTCGCCCATCCCAGCTTCAGCAGGGTAACGGTGCGTATGCGTAATCGAATTCATTTGCGGCTTTCGTCGTTAATCCTCGGCTCTCCACTTGATGGCTATGAGCTCTGGCAATCGCCTGGCTTAACTTTTAATCGGAAAGTCGAGCCTGGGTTTGGTCTGGGGGTTGCCGCCACAAATGAAATGATTTGCTGATAAACCAGAATGAATATATAAAGGGGAAATATTAAAATAATTTGATTAATCAAGTTGATTTTTTCATAATTATCAACAGATAAATTTAAGCAATCCTTTCTGTCAATAATATATTTTATTATATATGGTAAAATCAACACTTGAGCCTTCGAATTCTTAAAGACTCAATAGGCAAAAAGTTAGTTGACAGTCCTCTTACCCCCTTAGAAGCTTATATTCTTGAGACTCCCTGGAGTCTCCTTTTTCCGCATAAGTCCTTCCGCTCGCTGTGCCTATTTGAAGGCGCTTCATTTGACTTCATTCCGACTTGGGCAATGCTTAGTTGGCAATATTCCTTTAGCATCCGGCATTATGCGCATATTTGAGCCATCATCACTCAGTTAGACAAATCCTTTCAGAAGGACTTTTTCGCTGGCTCGCTGAAATTTACGCTGGCCATAAAGGCGTCTAAATATTTGATGGTCGCAGCCATTCAATGGCAGCCTGTTGCTCCGCTGGACTCTGGCAAGTGCATCACTTATTCATGGCCCAGAAATATAGTGTCTTCCTTCTCCAGAGTCCTCTACTCCTCTCCGTTAAAGCTGTCCCCTTTGAAGCTGTCTCATAACTTAGTCATTCTGCCACCGACATTGCCCACTCCAGGGTGAAAGTGTTTGACGTGGCCCACGGATTACCAACGGATCTCCTGGCGCGATGCCGAAAGTCAATATTTACCTGGCCTCCCTCGAAAAAGGATAGCAATCTCGCCAGGTGCTTCCTGCCTACTGCCTCTTGTCGTAGGTGTCGCATTCATCGTGCGAGCGAACTTTTAATCAAGTCACAAATATTTTTGGCATCTTAATTCCCAGTGGCAGTGGCGTGCGAGGACCTGATTCGCATATCCCTGGCTAATTAGCGGCTTCCGGAGTGGCGCGTATAAAGGACGACCTTCAGGGATCATCCCATTCCAACAAAAACCTCTGACAATGAGTGTTGGTGGAACTGATTTACTCTGCCGACGAACAACAAGCTCATTAATCAATTTACGCAGCCTACGAGCCACCAAAATTATGAATGAACATTTATAAAAACGAACCAAAAACAACAACTAATTGAGTATTCAGACTTTTTAATTTTTAAGCGTTAAGAATTCAGGTCATGCTTGAAGAATCAAACAACAATTTATAATAAACACAAACAAAAATGTCAAACAAAAACACAGAACTTGAAGTAATTTGTGTATAAAAGAGCCATTAATCATGCCGGTAATTAAGCATTAAACAGGAAAGGTTTTCAAGTCAAGAATATATGCAGTTAAAGTGATTTAAATTCCATAATAAACCTTAAATTGTATAAGTATTTTAAAAAAGACTTGAAGACTTCAATATAATTTTTATTGTTTTTAAACTATTCATAAACTTTCTTTACTGAAATTACCTCTACTATTTTCCCACACTCGCTAAAAAACTAAGAAACAAAAAAGGAAAGGTCTATAAATAACCGACTTTATGAAAAGTTTCCACTTTTATTGTAACCATTCAATGGGAATGCTAATACAGGCCGCTCCTTTAGTGGCCAATGAGTGCAGGAATGCAAGTTACACACACACAAGTGAAAGGGAAAGGACCTCGGCTTAGGCGGCTTCTTCGCACGTTGCCGCTATTCCCAAGGGACTTTTTATTCTATTTCTGAACCACAAAGTTTTGAATGGCCAGGATCTCCGTGGCAACATTCGGATAGCTATCCATCCCTTTGGGACCTTTCGAGGGGAGCAGCTGGCGCATCCTGCGATTCGCTTTCCTTTCCTTTTTTTGTATTTGTAGTTTGACAAAGGACCTCCCACCCGACCACGCAACTGAAAATCCTGATGGCGGCATTGTGATTATGCAAATGAGGCAACGACAAGTGTGTTCAAAGGGATCATGTTTATTATTTATTTACTGCCTGTTGACAGTTTATCCAGCAGACTCGCTTGAATCTCGATTCCCTCGATTCTCTGTCGGATTGGCCGAAAGATTTGTGCGCTGTGACGTCAGACCGAGGGAAGGGATATTTCAGGACTGAGGCTTAAAGCTGCTTTGGCATAAACCGCCACTAATTGACAGTTCCATAACGCCCCGACGACTCGTTAAAGCCAAAGCTCGAGTGTTGCGCAAACAAATGTCCCAAAGGCCAAAAACTTTTTGGCCTTAACTCAATTATTTGAGCCCGCGGCCAAAACGCGTCACCATTTATCAATCTCCTGTGTCCCAGCGGGGGCTGTGTGGGGGTCCTCCTTGGACTTCCTGGCGATTTCAATTAACAGGAAAATTTGCAACACAAAAAAAAGGCCACCTCTAATCAATCATAAAGCGCCAAGAATCAGGGCGCGCAAGTAACAAAAAAAATTTGCTCAAGGTTGGAGGTCTCCTTTTTTAAAAACTTTTTAACTTTGCCCCCTCGCATTTGTCATGCTTAAAACTGGTCCTGGCGGCCCCTCAATTTATATATATTTCTATACAGTATCCATCTTGGCTGAGCACGTTCCGGGCGTCATCTGCTCGATTCTTGTTTATTGGAGAATCGTGTGTGGTAGTTTAATTAAAACTGGCCATTGTCCTTTGTCCCGACTGACCTCTTGTCCCCGTTTCCCCCATACCACAAGTCGAGTCCCCTGCAGTTGCATTGTGGGCCGTGTCCTAAGTGCCGCATTAGCAGGACCCCCAGCGGAGTACTTTCTTTGGTTACAACTGCAAAAAGTCGACAGATATTAGTCGCGGACATCCCGCTGATCCGCTTGGCCAGGACGTGCCTCCACCTCGGGTTTCGATGTCTGTCTATTGTGTCGGAGTGACTGAATGGGAATGGGCCAGGGATGACTGCTCCTGATCTGACTGCCAGTTGCAGTTGATTGTCACAGGGGAGGAAGCCTGCCGCTTTCACTCTTATGAAATGAGGTTTACAAAAACATTATATGAGAAAAGAATGTTTGAGTAACTTTATACAGTTAAAAAAGTTATATTAAACAAACTATTTCATTAAATTGTCACTCAAAAGCTATTTTAGGTAAGACAAACAACGTTTTCTAGGAAAATTGCAAGACTTTGGTTTTCTTCATGTGTTACCATGAAGTACTAACATTTTTTGTAATATTTTTAATATTTTCTTGAAGATCTTTAGCCATTTTTTCTTCTTCCCTTTCAGGCCTGGCCCAGTGTGAAGCGTTCTTTTGAAATATTTCCCAACCCGGCGGTGCCACACAATGTGCACACGGTCTCAGGTAAGCTGACACACACTCACCCGCACCTACGCAAAGGGAAACTTCTTGGAGTCAAGTGCCTTGGGGGTGCTGGGCCAGCTGGAAAATGCACTTTGGCGGTAGCGACAAGTTTAAAGCGCTTTCTAAAACCTTGTTTACTTGTCTCTCAAATTGATTTTTGCATAAGTTGGGAGTGAGCGCAGCTCGCTGAACCCCCAGGCGTATACGCAATTTATACAACCAGGCAACACGAATTTATTGCCCCATTAAAATTCAAATCAAAGTGTACTCCACCTAGCTCTATCCCATCTCCTTTGGCCATTCATCCATCACATAAGCGACCCAAACTGACCAAATGGAAAACATAAAGATTACCAATATGTAAATCTGTGGTCACTCAATGGCTACAACAAAACCCAGGGATTCCGGTGAATGTAAACTTAATAAATTTTATGGATGTTGGCCAGCAACTCGTGCCAACTTCAATTGAGTTAATCTACCCACCCTCCATCCACTTCCATTTTCATTTTCCCAAGGGAGAAGAGTCGTCAAAGCAACCGCATCCTTGCTACAGAGATAACGGAAAGTTGCATCAGGTGAAACATCAGTAATTCTGTGGCTATGCCAATTTATAATTGCTTTTATTTATAGTCAGGACAACAGCCTGGGAAAACTTGTGGACAGTGGGTGGCAATGGGTTTTCCGGGGGGGTTGGGTCAGCTCAATGACGTCACTTCCATAAATAGAAATTCCGTTTTTGAACAGCAAATGGAAAAGCACTCTAATCCGAGGGATTAATGAAGACTCTGCAGGAATACAAAAGAGCTTCGATTGTATTGATAAATTGCAGCCATAGACAAAGTATCTTTGGGGTGGCTGGTAAATCCTCCGCAAAAGGATCAATAAAAGTTTCTCCCACGAAGTAGAAAAACGCAGAAAATTCGGGGGTCGAAAAATGACGTCGGCGGAGTGCCCGTAGCATACATATATTGTCGCAGTCGATTCGGTACTAAACTTAGCTTAGCCTAAGGGCCCGCTGCCGGCCGAGAAGCCCAGCTTAACGGCGCGAGAGCGGGAGAGCGGGAGAACAGTGAACTAGAGCGGCGTAGCCGTCCCTAGAAGCGAGCGACGATCGGGAACACGGGAGCGTGCGATCGGTAATACCGAGGAGCGGAGAGCGGGCGAGCGTTGCTAAGCTGGGAGCGCTTAAGCTTTTGGACGCTCGGTGGCCAGAGGGGGGAGCAGGGGCCTCCTGGCGTAAACATTCTCCCCCCTTGCAATCACTCGGGTTGCAATAAACCCGTACAGGACGATGGTATGGAGGGGCGTCAGAGCGCCGCGTAGATCGTTGATGCTGGAGCGACGAGGAGCGATGAAGGACGGATGAGTGCCAAGGAGAGGCGGATGATTGCCATGGAGAGGCGGGAACTTGTCGCAAGGAGCTTGCTGAACAAGGCGGAGGCGTCGAATGCCGTGACCAGGACGCATCACTGTGCGCTAGAAGACGTCGAACTTTCCGTAGCGGACGAACGTTGGCAGACTCGGCAATGGTAGGACTAAGAACCTCGAGTACGTCTGCCTTCCAGAGCGATCGCGGTGTGTGGAAGTGAAGCCCTCGTATGTGATCTGGATGAAAGAAGATGACATGGAGATGAGTGATGGTCAAGTAAATGCGAACTAGAAGTATGGGGGTGACCGATGCTGCGAGCGGAGTGGATGCTCTGGACGGTCATGCGGATGCAGGAGAGTGTGGTGGTGCTGATTGCACGTCTTGCATCGGTCACCGCTGCGGCAGGTTCCCTCGGAATGTTCGTGGGCCAAACAGTTGGAACAATAACGGTGGTCGAGAACCGCTCGGAGCCTCTTCTCAGCGCAGAGTTTGAGGAACTGTTGGCACTTCCGGAGCGGATGGTTCCCTTGGCAGACTCGGCATTGGTAGGATACAATACCTCGGGCACGTCTGCTCTTGCTGTCGTCGTACGGAACCCAGTACTTGGAGGAATCGGCGGACGTGGTCACTCGTGTGGAGAACGAGGAAATTCTTTGGGTGGGTGCAGGTCGAGGACTAGATGGAGTGGAGGGTCTTGGAACATTAGTAGTAGGACTCTCGCGGTGCAGCAGAGTGTGATGCCGGCTGTGGCACGTAAAGCAGGAATGGGCACTAGTACAGTCCCGCTGCTGGTGCCCTCGCGAAAAACAATTTAAGCAGAGTTGCTTTCTACGGATGAAGTCTGTCCGCTCATTGACATTCATGTCCAGGAAAAACGGACATATACGGATAGGGTGGTCCTCTCTGGAACATAGAATACACCTTCTCGGTGTTGGAGCCACCCTAACTTCGTGTGAATCGAGCCTACGCACCGGTGGATTAGCAGTTGATGACTTTGGCGGAAGATGCCCAGAGCCGCTAGGCCTGACGTCGTCGATGGCCTCCAAAGTGCGATGGCGCTCAGTCAGAAACGCGTCCAACTCCCGCCAGGTTGGAATTTCGGCCTTATTATGAATTGACTGCTCCCACAAGGAAAGCGTAATATTGGGAAGCTTCGAGGAGACCATATACACAAGAAGGCAGTCCCACGCCTCGACTTCAATAGAGGACATTTGTAACGCGGTCAAACAACTTTGAATTGTGCCTTGGAGCTCTTTTAGAGCGACTCCGGATTCTTGAGGAACAGCCTGGATGTTAAAAAGAAGCTTTAACTGACTGTTAACTAACAATCGCTTATTTTCAAAGCGGTCGGAAAGGCTTCTCCATGCTGAGACGAAACCCTCGTTGGTCAGAGGGGCCTTTGAAACGATTGCATGCGCATCGCCGCTTGTCTTCGAAAGTAGGTGGAACAACCTCTCCACAGGCGTAAGTCGGGAATTGTTAATGTAAATCGCCGTGAAGAGGTCCCGGAAGGTGGGCCACCGAAGGTAATCGCCTGTGAAGACCTCGGTGTCCACTGGTGGCAATCGACAACCCATGGACGGGGGTGTGAGCGCAGGGGCGGAAGCCTGAATGGACTGGGAGGTGGCCTTGTCGATAATTTCCTGCAGCTGTACAAGACACCTCGAATATACGGAGTAGCACTCACTGTACTTGGATTCAAGCTCAGTGGCGGTGGCTGTACTGTCGGAGGACACGGAAAGAAGATCGGAGCAGCTTTCATAGCTTTTCTCCACCTTGTCCCACAGGGCACGGATTTGGTCCCGATGGACTCTGCACATGCCAGGGGAAAATCTCTCAGTGTCAGAAGCGCTCGGAGTGTAAAGGTTAGCTTCGAATTGGCTAACACGGTCCGCCGTGGAAATGAACTTTCGGAGGGCGATGTCTAGTGCGGATTGCGCCATCTTGGAAACGTAATAAGTCTTGGCGAAGGAACGGGACTAGAAAGGACGGACTTGTCGCGTTTTTGCCCTTGGGTTGGCAGTGGCTTTTTGTTGTTTCCCGTAGACAAACTCAATTTCAAGATCAGCGGTTGTCGACTGACCTGAGCGAAGGATGCCTGATTCGAAGTGGAGCAGAGTCGGGAACCAAAACGTAGACCGTACTGTCCGTGACCGTGGTGGAGTAGGAAGCAGAGATGTCTATATATATTCCGTGGCTCGGAAGTGGAGCTTGTCTAAATTGGAAAATTAATTTATTAATTATAATCCGTAATAACAAAAAAAAATTGATTAATAATTAATGTCGGAAATAATTAATGTGAATTATTTAAGGACTTGCACGTAATTATTACGGAGCCGGAAAGGCGGAATTAAAATATAAACCTTGGCCTTGACTCGGGGGAAACTCACTGGGCTATGCCGTCGGCCAAGCAGTGCATAAGTGAGGCGCCTATGAGAGACGAAAGGCACAGAAACCGAAACAACAACAACAACAGCACGGCTGATGCGGCGGTTAGTGCGGGGGTCCGAAAACAACCATAAATCGAAGTTTGGTTTAAGAAAAGCCGTCGGCAAAACACAGCCTAAGTGAAGAGCTCAGGAGAGAGACCAAAACGGAACTCGAGGAACAACAACAAGAACAACACGTCTGCTGCGGCGGTTGTGTGGATGTGGAGACAAAATCTTGGTTATTTTTGTTATTGTTTGATGGTTATTTAATTCCTGTATGTAAGGCAGAAAATTTAAATACGTATGTAATTGTATGAGCATGCAAATATGTATGGAAAAGTTGTCTTTATTTTGTACAGTGGAAACCCGATAACGGAACTGCTGAGGGCGTACAAAAAATATTGAAGGCAGAAAATATATTTTGTACAGTGGAAACCCGATAACGGAACTGCTGAGGGCGTACAAAAAATATTGAAGGCAGAAAATATATTTTGTACAGTGGAAACCCGAGAACTGGACTGGAGTTGTGAGGGCGTACAAAAAATATTGGAGGCCGAAAATATATTTATATATTGGCATAAGTACAGTAGAGCGTCGAGAAGTGGACTGTATTATTTGAAGTTGAAGGAATTGTGTTCAAGAAAATATCGAGGCGGCGAGAAACACACAGTGACCGCATTATACATATGAGAATGAAATCTCGGGTAGGGGGCCGAATTCGGCAACACGAAATATTCACTGTAGAATTTTCACTGCCGCGGCGCTCGACTTGAAACACACGTTCACTTATTATATTATCCTTTTTAATATATTGGTCGGCTGAAGGTTGCGGATGTCAATTACCACTCTAAGTAAATGACCAACCAACTCGCGGAGTAATGCGCGCCGATTTACATATGTACGTATGTATGTGCGTATATCAAGACCGTTTTAGTCGTTGATGTACGGCCGAATATAGGGACGTATGTATGTACATATGTACGGAGAAATGTACAACGGGCCGAAGAAGTGGAAGAAAAAACGGAGATAATTATGCCGTTGCAGAAAGAAATGCAGGCAAATGGAAGTGGAGAAAATTAGCTTTGGAAATGATTTTTAAGCTGTCTAATTGCCGTGGTGTCGGAAAACTCGGACGAGGAGTTGACAAAAAATCGTCCGCAGGTTGAGCGAAATTTAAATTTCGGACAACTGTTGACGACCGGCAATTAGAGACGGGAGGGAACTTTTTACTTATCTTTTTCTGCGGCGGCACCACCAAAGCTGCTGGGAAAAAAGGATTCCAGGACGATATCCTTATCCGGCTCGAAGGACCATGTTCAGGAGTGGGGTGGCTGGTAAATCCTCCGCAAAAGGATCAATAAAAGTTTCTCCCACGAAGTAGAAAAACGCAGAAAATTCGGGGGTCGAAAAATGACGTCGGCGGAGTGCCCGTAGCATACATATATTGTCGCAGTCGATTCGGTACTAAACTTAGCTTAGCCTAAGGGCCCGCTGCCGGCCGAGAAGCCCAGCTTAACGGCGCGAGAGCGGGAGAGCGGGAGAACAGTGAACTAGAGCGGCGTAGCCGTCCCTAGAAGCGAGCGACGATCGGGAACACGGGAGCGTGCGATCGGTAATACCGAGGAGCGGAGAGCGGGCGAGCGTTGCTAAGCTGGGAGCGCTTAAGCTTTTGGACGCTCGGTGGCCAGAGGGGGAGCAGGGGCCTCCTGGCGTAAACAGCCAATAAAAAAAAGCAAATCAATTTAAGGTTTCCCCCGAAAATTCAGTGAAAAGAAAATCTGTTTAAAGGACAAAGAACTCAAGTATTTCCATTGCCACTTAGCAAGCCAACATAACTGAATATTTTATGATTTCACTTGTTAACCGCCGCCGGCACTCTGCTTATGATTATTAAATCATTAATGTTTAATAAATTATGAATAAGTAGTGCCATTTTAATTGTCAGACACCACAAGTAGAGATGTAAAAGCCCGAAAAAAGCAGCCACTGGAAAGCAATTAGCGAGTGTCATAAACAAATTGGCGCCAAGTGCCGCCAGAAGGAGTCTTGGGACCCCAACTGTCTTCTTGCTGTCCTTCCCAGGACCCAACCGAACAAATTCCCCTTCGAGGAATACACGTTCGTAGCCAACCCACACGAGTATGTGACATGCATGTCAAGAGCTTCACAAAAAGTAAGTCAAATAATAGTTTAATTGTTTTTCGGGCCCCGAGACGAGGTCATAAAAAGCCAACAACACACATCTGTATTCATATACGTATGAGTGGGGTGACCCGGCTAATAATGCTGGCCATAAATCAGCCAATGATGGCCGGGCATTAAGTGGATGCGCATGATAAATTAATTGTTGCCAGAAGCCAAAAGCTAGTAACAATCAAAGGGGATTTCAATCGCTCACTCCCTTAAGCCGCGCCCACTCCTGCAACTCCTTCAAATTGGCCAAGACAAATTGGTTTCAGATTCGGTGGGCCACTCAGTTTTGGAAGCTGGTTTTGAGACTGCGGGGCATCAACTGCATTTAAGACACAAAGAAAAAAATGTTATTTCAGTCGGGGATTACAGGAAATAAATAAGATTTCATTGACATCTACTTTGTTCTTGATAATTGCAACTCAAAATAAAACATATTACATTTAGAAAATGTATTTCAAGTCCGCAATTATCTCCCCCTTTTTCCCCCAGTGCAATGCCATTAACTCACACCCCCTTCAACTTCATCCCTTCCTTAGATTGCATGCATGTGGCCTCTGAGGCAGGTGACTACATCTTCAAGAAACTCAATCCCCTAAGTTCGGCGTTGAATCGAGAGGCTGCTCTGCTAGAACTGGAGGCGGCAGGAGCTGGCGCAGGGGCTGGGGCAGAAGCCAGAGCTGGCGTGTTGCCCGGAGTGGTTCCAGGCGAAGGAGCAGGAACAGGAGCAGATGTCCAGGAAGTGCCGAGCCCCGAGGTGTGTGGACTTTATGTGATTGGGGAGCCAGACACGATTGTCGAGATTACAATGAAGCACTATGATGTGAACTGCGAGACAGGAGCCCTAATGGCGGTAAGTGCTCGGAAATGTCCTTTAAATATCCCCGTCGAATGTAACCCGCTTTGGCTGCTACAGTTTGTGGATGGCTGGGAGCTGAATGGCGAGTACTTTCCGGGCATAAAAGATCACCATCGTCCGCTGGAGGAGCGTGTTTACGAGTTTTGCAACAACTACAGACAATGGTGGGTATCCTAAGCAGGTTGAAAGATATATTTTTATTGGGATTATCCTGTGTATTTATGCAGGCCCCGAGTCAGCAATAAGAAGTTCTTCCGCTCCAGCCAGAATGCTGCCCTGCTTCAGTACCGGATTCCTGCGCGCGGCTCCTTTGTGGCCAATGTGAAATTCCACAAGATCACACAGCGTAGGTTTTATCTATAATAATAATATTAATAAAATTATATTTTTAATAATTTTCTTTATCCTAAAGCTTGCAATGTATTGGTCCAGGATGTAGCTGCCATGTACAAGATGACCAACTTTGGCCAGGCCCGGAACTGCACCATCTCGGCGCTCTTTCCGGCAGTGGTCTCCCTGGCCAGTCTAAGGATCGGTGGCAAGAGCGTGAGGGCCCAGCAAAAGGTCAACTATGATGTGAGTATTCCTAGAAATTATAACCTTTTCCAGCTAATCTTCTTTATACATCTGAAACAGTGTCAAATGCCCAGTGATCGCTTGGAGATTGGCGGATCCGCTGGCCTGGATGCCTTGGGAATGGAGCAGGCCAGCGCCGTTTGTGGGGCCTCTAGCGAGCCGGGACCAGAGCAGGCCATCTTTTGCGGGGTGACCACCGTGCGCCTGGTATCCTCCGGCCGTTATCAGAACCAGGCGGCTCTTGTCCTGCGAAAAGCCGATGTGCAGGACCTGGACATTGCCACGCTCATGTGTGCGCTCTAAGCGGCGAGCGGGACGCGGTCCAAGTGTGTAAATGTTTGTAAAAAAAAAAGAAAACGACAGAAGATATAGATTCCAGCAATGAATCGCCGTCAAGCGGATGCGGAAGCCACCTCCCCGGACTCCATCGTAGTGCTTAAACTTAACTCTTAACTTAATCCAGCTAATTCGCAAAGTATTCGCTACCCGAGAGGCATCTTAGGTAATATATATATATACATGTATATCGAACATTCTGAGTGTTGACTACAAGAATCGAGTGTGTTTATTGTTCTTCGGGTTAATCATCTATATCTCTCTCCAAATCTCCGGGCTATGTTGTTTTATTGCTCGTTTTATGGCTCCATTGAGGTGCGATTATCGCCAGCGATTATGGGGGCTATGAATAGCTTGATGATAAGTCTTAGTTGAGAATTGCGGATGCAGTCAGCAGGGCCAACAGGGAGGCCAGGCTGAAGGCCTTTAGACCAGCGGCACCGCCTCCATTGTCATTGTCATCGGTTTTATCCTCATTTTCCAGCTAAAATTAAGAGAAAATAAGAAATTATCAAGGTAAAGTAATTACGAGAAGTATCTCTGATACTTACACTATCCGCCAGGATTTCCTGCAGCTCCTTGCAGCGGGTGCGCTCCTGGTAATTGCTGGTGGCAATCCTACAGATGGTCTTGCTTAGACAGGCGTCATCACAGCCCTCTGCTATCTTAGGATCGGAACTGGTGAACTTGTACCGCCGGAATTTACGTAGCAAATCAGGTTTCTCGGCCATTTGCACCAGCAGCTTATCGATGCCCGCTGGGCTCGTGTCCTCGGTAAACTCCTTGGTGAACTCGTACTCCAAAAACCACTCCGGCTGCTCATCGGGCTTCTCATTGGCAGCCGTCAGATTGAAGATGTACGTGCTATGCTCAACCACCTGCTTTCTCTTTGGATCCACTTCGTACACCCTGTAGTTGGGATTCGTATCCGAATAGGTGGTCAGGCTGCCGCCATTCCAGTTCACCACCGTGGCATAGCCTTCCTCGGAGTAGTGCAGATTCATCTCGTCCTTGTGAGTGTGTCCACTGAAGACGCCAGTCACGATGCCACTGAACCTGGTCAGCACTCGGTTGTACTCCTTCGACCAGCTGCTCCAGCAATCGCCGTCACCCGCGGGAATGTGTGCCAGGACATGGACCGTTTCACCAGACTGTTCTGCTGCGAGCAGGGTGTCATGGAACCACTGCAACTGCTCCTGGATCAGTGTGGCGTTGTAGTAGAGCCACCAGTTGTACAAGTAGCAATCCATGCTGTTCAAAGCTACGACACGGAAGTCTTTGCTGATTGGGACGGTGTAGTAGCCACCACGAAGGACAGTGGTCTCCGCCTCCGCAGGCAGCCACTTGGACCACAGGCTCCACACATGCTCGTACAGCCACTTGACGCTCAATTCGGTGGGTATTTCGTCGTTGCCAAAGCTGAAGGATACAGAAAATAAATAATAAAATAATTAAAAGCTATTAAAATATCTTCCAAATATTTGAAATAATTAATTGTAGTCATACAAATTTCGGAATTTCTCTTTGACGAAAGCCAGAAGCCATTAAAAAACAATTATGTGCTTAAAACCTATAAAATAACGAGTAGTTAGTGCCCCCCAATTTATTAGCTTTATCAGTAGATTAGTCTAGATAAAAGGTTATTAGTTTGTTACCTAAAGTTGTACCTATTACCAGTAGTGAATTGTAGGTAATAAGTCACTTTATGGAAGTGCGGTTTTGGGGGGCTATTGTGGGAAAAATTTACCATAAACTTTATGTTGGTGGGAAAATACAAAGGTTTATGTTTGTTAAACATTTTACGATATCTAAGAGATTAGAAAGAGTTCATATAATCGAAAAACAACAATTTAACTCATTAACAAGCTCGTTTAAAATTAGTTTCCTGCATTTTTGAGGAAGTTATTCCTTTAAAAATACTTAACTGCATTGTAGAAGAAGGTATTTCAAGGGAACTTGTTATGAAATTATTAAGTTTTAATAACTTTACTTTATATACCTCAAATATTTATAAGTTTTTTAGGATATCCTTCATATTAATAAGAGTTCTGTAGAGTTCGAAATTTATGTAACCTCTAATATATTTTCTATATTTTTGTTTACTTCCATTCTCCACCTTATTGTTCTTACTTTTAGTTCAAAAATAATATTTGCTCTATACTTCCCTCTCTCTGCCAAGTAAAATTACTTAAAATTACCACCAAACCACTTCTCCACCCCAGCAATTTCCACTCCAAATTTCTGTTACCAAAACTCAAGTCAATTTTGAACTCTGACCATTCTGGGTCATTCATTACCTTAATAATACGAGTGCGAAGGGTGTGCAAATTACGGGTACTCACACGTTCGTGGGATGTGGCTCGTGGTTGCCCAAACAGGGGTAGATGGGCGTGTTCGGGAAGTACTCCGCCAGGAGTCCATCGATTTCCGTCAGCATATCCAAGTTGCCCTGCTTGGTGGTGGACCAAACATTGTGGGGCGGCACATCGCCAGTGTGGTAGATCCAGTCAATCTTATGGTTATCCTTGGCATGCTGGAAGGCACTGTGAATGAGGTGAATGGGAGTGTCGCAGGCTCGATAGTCCGACCAGTAACCAGCTGCGGATGAAGAATCTGCTCCCTCGGCCAGAGGAGTTCGGCAGCACATGGGCTCATCGCATTCGGCATTGCTGCCGGCGGCGTACAGGGGATCATAGTGGATGTCGGTGAATTGGAGGATCACTAGATCCTCCGAGCTGCGAGCGGGTAGCTCAGAGTTGTGTTCCGTGGGGGAATCCCCCTGAATGGTTAAAGTTAAGTTGTACTCGTCCTGCTTCACCTGGCAAATGTTAATGGGCAGCATGCTACAGAATGACTGCGAATCGGCGGCTGTCTCGTTGAAGATGAAATCGAAGATGGGCCAATTGAGATCAAAGAGTCCCGAGCACACCTCCTGGGTGGAGATGCCAAAGTAATCGCAGACTCCCAGGGATAGCTTCTTGGCCTCCGCCTCACGCTGCGGACCACTCAGCTCTCCCTCGGTGAAGGTGCGGACCAAGACATTGACCGTGGATCGACACAGAGTGCACACAAAGAACTGATCGGCAGAGTTAAGGTCAGCCATGGACTCAGTAAATATGGCCTTCCTGCTGTGACTGTTTCGCAGATCATACCCTATTTGCTTTAGCCTATCCGTCTGGACTCCCGTACGGTGGTACTTCAGGTAGTCGCGGCTTATCTCTTCCGCTATGCTCACTGCCAAAATTCGAATAAAAAACCAATAAAGGATGTCAGTCAATCGAAGCTGTCAGTTAGGAGTTATCTCTGGCGACAAATCCAAACACTTTCGCCTTAGCGACTATCAAAGCCATTCACATATTGATATGGATTTTAATTCATAACAAAAGAGGTGACATTCGAACTTGGCTAATTTTAATCCTCAATCCTTCTTGACCCACCTGATTGCAACGCAGCCAGGCGCTCCTCCTTGGTTAGAGTATCAGGAACATTCGGCAGGCTAAAGGCTCTGCAGCCTACCAGCAGGAGAGCTAGTCCCCAGAGAGCTGTACTCCAGATCAACTTCATGACGGAACTGTGCCCTGGGCATAGATCGTGCCTCTACTTATAGCCTTCTTAATTACTATATCGCTATCAGAACAGCTGCTTATCGGAAGTGGAGATAGTGGAGAAGTGGTATAACGATACCAGCGGTCATCAGCCCATACTTATTTCGGATCAGGGGCAGATTTTACAGACCAGGCTAATCGGTGAAGGGTTGCGTTTATTGGGGTACCTTTAACAACACGATTTGGCAAAGCAAATCGCTTGAAATATCCCCCCGTAGGTCACCTGAGTTCAAGGTCCAGAAAGCTCTTGACTTACAAAATATAGAACCCCATTTTGATTTTAGAAGCAATTTTTCTCGCATCTAATTCCAAGAAATCAAAGTTATAAAACAATGTTAGTAATTAAGATTAAAATTACCTAGTATTTAATGAGTAATAACATAATTTACAACTCTATGAAATTTAAAGACAAATAAACTATTTCTTGCACGTGCTTACCATCCATCAGTACCCTTAACATTATCATCATCGCCACTGCCATGACCATATATATACATATGTACCATATTTTATGACCAGCACATACCATTTGACTAATTTGCGCTAATCGCCATTAGCCGATAATGCAATCACCTGGAAAACAAAGTCTATATATCACGAGATAACCCCCCGAAAATAATATACACAAGATTAACTTCGATAGGGATAAGCGCATACTTATATTGACCACTTGAGACTAGGCACCTTTTTCGGAATGGAATCCATTCCCATTATATAACTTAGGGGGTACAATTAGAAGCTAAGACGAATGGACAGGACCAAGGCCAGCAGAGAGCCGATGCTGAGCAGGCTCATTGTGGCTGCTCCGCCACCGTTGTCATCATCTCCACCATCTGGGGGTTCCGTGGTGGGATCTTCGTTGTCCAGCTGGAAAATGGTTTAAAATATAAATTAGTTTTATGGTTTTTTGGGATTTTGTGCAAGGCTAACTTACAGCAAAGAACAGCTTCTCGCGGAGCTCCTCGCAGCGTCCTCGCTGGTTGTTGATGGTGACAGCAGCCCGGCAAAGGGATCCTGCTAGGCAATTGCGATCGCAGCCTCCATTAACCTGGGGATCCGCAGAGGTCACACGGAAGCGCCAGTACTGGGGAAAAAAAATCAAAGATAAGAAAGTGACAGGAAATATTAACTTAACTTGTCATTAAGTAGATATTTCTTTTTAGATTATCTAGGTAGGTTTAGCAAGAACTAATTTCCTATCAAAAAGATAATATTACTTTCAGATTAATGTAACTTTAAATTGTCAAGAAAAAACTAAAAATTTAATATCTGGATTGACACTTAAGTATATATTCAACCTACCTTCCTCATCAAAGCGGGATTCTCGGCCAACTGGTCCAGCAGTTTGTCAATGCCAGCAGGACTCATATCCTCGGTGAACTCCTTGATAAACTCATACTCCAGGAACCACTCGGGCTGCTCATCCGGCTTCTCATTGGCGGCAGTCAGGTTGAAAATCCACGTCCAATGGTTGGTCACTTGGTAAGTGCTGGGATCCACGGCGTACTGCCTATAGTTAGGGTTCTTGTTGGAGTAGGTGGTGACAGCACCACCGTTCCAAGCCACAGAGGTGGCATGTCCCTCCTCCTCCGAATAGTAGACAAAGAGCTCGTCCTTGTGCGAGTGACCGGTAAAGATGCCGCTAATGGTGCCACTGAAACGCGTGATGCAGCGATTGAACTCGCGGGCCCAGACGGACCAGCAGGTACCATCTCCAGACGGGATGTGGGTCAGGATATGGACATACTCGCCGGCCTTCTCGGCGGCCAGAAGAGTATCATGGAACCACTGCAGCTGCGGGATCTTATCAGTGCCGCTGTGGTACAGCCAGAAGTTGTCCGTGTAGCAGTCGTTGCTGTTTAGAGCGATGACGCGGAAGCCCTGGCGCGGCGACACCGTGTAGTAGCCGCCCTTGAGGATCGTCTCCTTGGTCTCTGCCGGAAGCCACTTGGACCAGTCGTTGTACAGGTGCTCGTACAGCCACTTGGTGCTGATTCCATCGGGAACGCCCTCGGGACTGAAGCTGGAAATCAAGAATTTAGGGATGTTATTATTCTCCTAACTAGGTAGCTTTTTCATTGAAACTTACAGGTTCAAAGGATGAGGCTCGTGGTTTCCAATGCAAGGATAGACGGGAACATCACCGAAGGCCTCAGCGAGGCGCTGGCTCACCTTGGTCAGAACACCAGTGTTCTTTTCCACAGATGTGGCCCACACCATATGGTCCACAATGTCACCGGTCTGGTAGACAAAGTCGCACTTCGTATTGGCCACCGCGCTATCCAGAGCAGACTCGAAGGTATGCCAGGGCAAATCGCAGTCCCGGTAGTCACCCCAGGCACCAGCCGCCTCGCTAGTCCCCTGGGCGGTTTCTATGTGCCGCTGGCAGCACATAGGCTCCTCACAGGAGGCCAGACTGCCAGCCTGATACATGGGATCGTGATGAATGTCACTGAACTGGCAGATCCTTAAATCGGAGTCGCTGAAGCGAGGAGTGTCCGCCTTGGGACCGGTCAACGCCTCGCCAGTGCTGTCCACGGGCAAGGTCCAGTTGTAGTCGGGATTGGAGCCCGTGTTGCAGAAGTTGAACTCCATGAAGAGCGAGCAGAAGGTCTGGGAGTCGCTCTCCGAGTTGCGCAGGATGTACTCCACGGTGGGCTCATTGAAATCGATCAGGCCCTCGCAAACCTCGTCCGTCTGCATGTTCATCCGGCGGCAAAAGTCCATGGCAAACTGCTTCATCAGCACCGAGCTGTCGTCGCCATGCAGTTCCCCCTCCTCGTCACGAATTGTCCGGATGAAGACCCGCATCACAGCGCGGCAGGCTGTGCACACAAAGAAACTATCCCTGGGCTCCAGATCGATCATGTTCCGGGTGAAAATGTCCTTTTGGCTGTGAGACTTGGCCAGCTGCTTGGTCAGTTTCTGGAACTCCGGCGTCTCCACTCCTGTTTTCAGGAAGGTCACATACTCGTTGGCCAGGCGCTCGGCTATGTCGTCCGCAATGGCGGAAAGCACATGATCATCCAACTCAAAGTCCACCGGCACTCCAGGCAGATTCACGGCCGAGGCGGTGGCCAGGACGACCGCTAACAGGAGCACGATTCCCCTCATGATTTGCAGGGCAACTGGAGCACATCCACGCCCGGTGGGGCCACTTATAGCCTAAGCTTATCTAGCCACCAGCTGGCCGAATCCATTGACAAGAGCGGGAAAACCCACTCAAAGGAAGATTAGCCTAATCTTGTGGATTCCAATTCGGGTGGAACTATTATTTTCGGCTCAAGAAGTGGCCATAATCTGCCTCCGGTGGGGCTCGAAATTCAACATCGTAAAAACGAAAAGTTTGGCGACTCAGCACTACTTGACAAAGGTATAAACTCTGGGTTCAGAAGGGTCCCAATAAAAGTAACGGTGATTTTTGTGGTTTATTTGCTTTTTAAACAGAAATACAGGAAGGTCAAACTTTTAGAGGTAAATGCCCTTATCATAGCTTTATCATTTTTTGCCAATTTAGGTATGCAAAGATTAAAGCACTTAACATACTTAATCTAAAATATAATACACCACATGAATTACTTTTATGGAAGTTTTGTGGAACCTTTTGGGGGAGAGAAAGTAATGTTTACTATTTAGCAATAACATAAAGAAGTCCTTATATATTTGTTGTATTTATATTTCAAATAGTAGAATCCAAATACAACCGATATATAATCAATTCTTTATGTTATTCCTGAAAGGCTTTCTATTTTCCTAAATATTTCGTTATATATTTGCATATTTTGGCATTCATTTAAAATTTGCGCTAATGCTAACGGTGGTGTTCGATAATTGCTTCGTTATCGATGCTTGAGTGTGACCATGTGCCGATTAAAATAAATCCCCTCCATTATCTTCCGAATTTCAAGAACACATTCAAATTTTAAAAGCGGTCACATTGCCTCCTATTTGCATTTATTATTAAAAAAAAATAAGAATCAGCAGCACCGAGTGTCAAGTGCCAGCCGAAGTCCAGGACAGCAGGACCCGGATTGAGGCAGATTAGGTAGCAGCGGCGGCAGAGCACATCAAGGGCACTGCTACGACGCCAGGATAATCCCCGCAGGCCAACGACAGCAGGCAGCAGCTGAAACGCAACAACAAAAGACTCACTCACTCGCCAGTGACGCCATTTTCTGTGCGAATAAAGAGCAGGTGGGGCAACGGCATAAAACAGATACGAGAAACAGGAAGAGAGGCGGAGACAATAGCCACAGAGAGCGAGAGAACGCGGAAGCGAGTGTGGAGCGAGACAGACCGCGAGGATGAGCAGCCTGATCAATTTCCTGAACCCCAAGCTCAAGCCCTCCGTGGAGAGTGACGCCGTTTGCGAGGATGGCTTCACGGCGGCCAATCTCATCGCCGACGATGCCGAGCAGCTGGAGAGGGGCTTCATGTGCTTCGCCGTCTGCAAGCCGCCCGTTGAGGTTGTCTTCGACTTCCCCAAGGCCGTCGACATGAAGGTCATCAAGCTCTGGCCCTCCAGCGGGGCTCTGCGTTCCACGGCCTTCGAGCTGCATGGTCGCCATGATGGCATCTGGGAACGCGTGGCTTTTGTTAGGGACCTGGGACGTGGCGTGGACTCGGTGACCTTTTGCTACCAGAGCGACTACAACTCGCGGAGCAGCTCTAATGCCGCCGCCGCCACCGGGCAGCCGCAGAGCGAGAAGGTGTTCTTCTTTAAGTCTGCTCATAAGATCCTGGCCAGCACTAATAGTGTCAAGGTGGTTATTCGGGCCACCGAACGCTGTCCTCCGGTGCTGCGCAAGGTGCAAATGTGGGGTCTACCCGCTCGCTCGCTGGACAAGGCTGACAGGGAGCTGGTGAAGAGCATCTGGAGCGAGATTAGCGATCCCTATGGCCAGCGTGATGCCTCACATGGCAATACAGGACAGCGTTCGCCGCCCAGACATGTTCCAGAGCTGAGAGAGCAATCCTCGCTGTCCATACCCGAGGAATTCCTAGACTCCATCACCTGGGAGCTAATGGTAAAGAGAAATAGAGTAATTTTGGCCCCGCAATTAACCTTCTCCCTTCCAGATATTCCCCACCGTTTTGCCCTCCGGCAAGGTGGTGGACCAATCCACCATCGACAAGCACGCCGAGGAGGAGGCCAAGTGGGGCCGCCAGCCATCGGATCCATTCACTGGCCTCGAGTACAATGCCCAGCGCAAGGCCATTATTAACTTGGCACTAAAGGCCCGCATCGAAAAGTTCCTCATGGAGAACTCGGAGCACTTTAAGGCTGTGCCGCGTTCCCTGGGCTCTTCCCGGCTGCGTCGCCGCCACGCCTCGCAGTTCGCCAGCAGCATGTGTCAACCGGGTCAGATCAGTCCGGCAGCGGGCACATATTCAGCGCTGAGCAGTGCCTACAAGCAGCAGCAGCGCAAGAGCCGGGCCACTGCCACAGCCACCTCCTCATCGGCTTCGATCAGTGGATCACCGCACTCGCCGCCGGCGGCCAAGAGGGCGCGGCATAGCAACCATGGCACCACGGCCTGTGCCACCGTTACAGCCAGCAGCGCATCTACCTCGACCTCAACAACATCAACATCCACCATTGACCAGGCTATCCAGCAGGCCCTGCAGAAGATTACGCGCTTCAGTCAGGTGGCAGTGGCGGCCGCCCCTAGCGCCGGTTTGGAATCGTCAGCGGCAACCGACAACTGCATCAACTGCCGTAGCGCTCAGTTTGGCTACGAGATTCGCACCTGCCGTCATTTGGTCTGCCGGGAGTGTCTGGTTTTGCTATCGCGAGATCAGGTGTGCGTCTGCAAGGTCTCCTTCCGGGGCGCCGACGTGGAGCGGTACCATAAGCTGGATCCTTAATTCTTCGCCGGCCGCTCTTTTCATGATCGGCCCGCCCGATCGCTGCAATAAGCTCGGTTCGCCACCTCCCCCCATTTTGTTTCAGTTTGTAAGCCAGTCAATCGCTTTACTTTAGCTTATAGTCATATCAGGAGTCGGTCTGAGTCTGGAGTCGTCGCCGTAGAAGAAGCCAAATGTGTACACGCGAGTCGTTCCCGATGATTCGGAAGTATGTATCAGTATCAGGTCACGTTTAGTCATAGAGAACAGATTACGATTAGCATATAGAGAGGAGTCCGCGCCTAGTTTTTGTAGACACTTTATATACACACAGTTCCCGAGAGGAAAAAAGGGATCGTTCAGCGCGAGTTTATATATGTATTCATAACAATTATGCATAGAATAAAGAGCAACTACAAATATAAGTCTCATGTTCTTCTAAACAATTTGCAGTTTAAGTTTTCTTTACTCTTATGCGAAATTCCAAATTATGTTCGTTTTTTGCTTGTCTTTGAAGCAAATTGTCTTTAAATTGGTTACTTTAAGTTTATAAAGTTCTTTCTTATGTACTTTTTTCATCCATTTAACTAATGTACGATTTATTTCTTTAGCTATAAATAAAAACTAAAAATTTACAAACAAAAATATGTGAAAATATGCTTTTTTATTGTTTTTTCTTTCTAGAGATCTAAACTTCTTTGAGGGTTTTCTTAGAGAGATCTTGAAGTTCATACAAAAACAATATATAATTACATTTAAGAGTATCCTGCTCCTTTACCACACGGCATCTCCTTCAGCTTTCTTGAACACAAACTCCTTGCCGTGAATCTTCATCATGCCATCGCGGAAAATAAACTTCCACTTGTTGCGCGAACGGCTAACGACATCGTACTGGCAGGCCACCATGTTCTCAGTCTCGAACTTTTCCTCGATTGCTTCATCGTCGGTTAGATCGTCGCCGCTATTGAGTGGCTCCTCCTCGTCTTCCACCTCGGCCTCTGCCTCAGAGTTCTCTGCCTCATCGTCAGGATCGTCGGGATCATCAGGATCGTCACCTTCATCATCATAATCCAAATAGTTGTCGAAAGTTTCATCATCAGAGTCGTCGAGTGGCCCGTCTAGCTGCCTGGCCGTTCCCAGAGTCTTGGATTTCTCCTTTTTTGAGCGCTTGCTGGTGGAGCAGCAGGGCTCTTCATCTAAATCTTCGACCGCTTCTGGTGTTGGCGGAATTGCCGGTGACAGATCGATGGACTTGCTTTTCATCATCTTGGAGCGCCACATGTGCAGCATGCGCTGCAGGGCCTGTTCGCCGACTCCATCGTCCAGGAAGGCTTGTCGCATATTGGAGACTACGTCGTCGATGACGCGTTGGCAGAACCTGGGTACTACAGCCTGGGACTTGGGGACCTTGGCCTTCTTTTTGGAAGGAGCCATCTTAGTTCTTTTCGGTGAATTGAAATAGAGAAAAATGAATTGAAGAGTTTTTTAGCCTTGTCAAAAATAATGACTTTACAAAATTACCTTCTCGTGGGCTAATATCGAAGTCTGATACGTTCAGGTCAAGCAATCGGCGTTAAATGACAATTTTAAGTTATTTTATGTCAAAAGTTTTGGAAAAAAAAGCAAGGATTACTAGATTTTGCTTTAAATAACAGTACATTTTACGTTCCTAACACTAAATTTTCTTGGTTTTTAAAACACTTTAAAATTTTTGCACACTTGTAATATTCAATATATTTTTTAAAATTATTTTTACATATTTTAACTCAATTTTTACCAGTTAAAAAATTAATAAAAATAAAATATTTTAAACCTTTAAATTAAATTCAAATATTGGTGGCGCCCTCTAACGGCTTTTGCTAGCACAGACAGTGGGCTGCCAACTTGTTCCCTGCCCAGTCTGGCAGCTCTTCTCGACTTTCCGTGAACTTTTGTAAACATTTCAAAATACTCCGCAAATTTGGACATTTTCCGGCTTTAGCATGTCCGGGGATATGCATGCCACGCCCCAATCTGGCCGCAGACCGCGGTTGGGCCTGGGAAGACGGACCTGTCAATCCACGCCTCGCCTGCGACTCCAAGGAGAGGAACCATCAGTAAAAACACCCAAAAGTGAGAGTCTGAATACGCCGTCGACATTTCCGCTATCCTTGAGCGCACGCAGGATAGGATTGTCCAAAAACAGGACGGAGCTGACCAAGAAGAAGTTGGAGTTTGCTATGGTCCAGGAAATCAAGGAGAACAAGCCTTCGGTTAGTCAAGAAAAGGCGAAGAAAACGAACGAACCCAAGAAGAAAAATCAGCGCAGAGAAAAGGGCAACAAACAAGAGGACGAAAAAGGCAAGAACAAGGAAAAAGACCTGCCCGGAAAGCAGAAAGAGGAGGCGCCCAAGAAGCGGGAGCAAGATTCGCCCAACAAACTGCAACAGGAATCGCCCAAGAACTTGGAGCCCACTCAACCAAAGAGCAGCAAAATACTGGAGCTGCAAGGCGACATTGAAATCTGGCGCAAGGGATTCATAGCTTCCGTGGACGATCTACAAGCCATGGCAGAGCCTGGACTAACGAAAAGGGAACTCCTCACCCAGCTGGGCATTCCCCTCGAGATGCTGCGCTACCTGGAGGAGGATTAAAATAAACGTAGACTTTAAGAAATTTAAAATTAAGAAATTGTATTCCCTTCAAAACGAGGCGGAAAATATAAAAAAACAAACTTAAACACAAACTAGTACTTGTGCGGCCGTACAGGTCGCTCTGGGTCGAAGAGCTTGGGGTCCGCCAGGAAATCAAGGTCCTTGTGGTAGCCCGGCATCAGCAGGCACTGCTGGGCCCGCAATATGGCCTGTTCCACCTGCTCCTGGCGGCGCTTGCATAATCCGGTTATGTGCCGGCCATAGATGCGACCGGTGTACGGCGACTGGAACTGCGACAGCAGCTTCACATTCTTGTAGTGCGGCGCAATGTCGTGCTTGCACAGGATGCACTGCTGGGGGTCCTTTTCATAAGGATTCGTTATGTCAATGGGCAGGTCGGAGGTGTCGGCAGGCTGCGGCGGCTGCGAGTAAAAGCGACTGGTGGTCGCCAGCTGTTGTCTGGCCACTGCCACTGAAAGAAAGTGATATTACCCAACTGATATTTGTTTAATTTGTTGTTTAACTTACCATTTTGAGCTATAAATTTACCAATTTTAAGCATTTTAAAGTAAATTTGCAGGCAGAAAAAGAATAACAGACTGTCAGTGTTGGTAAATGCGGCCTGAAAACATGTGTTTTCTTATCGATATACTGGTATCGATAGTACTCCAGCACTAGACAACACTATAAAATCGATAACTTTGTTCTAAAAAACACATTATTTTGTTAATAATTGTATTTACTTTAATTTGTTAGAATGGCACCTGCTCGTGGCTCACAATCACAAGGCAAACCTGGCAGGAAACCAGCTAAAGGTCCTGGCAAGGTGGCACACAAGCAAAAACCCAATTTCAAGAGCAAAAACCAGCCAAAACCCAAGGCAGTAAGTAGGGGATCCATCAAGACCCTACTGTTTCATTATTAAGAATTCCCTAATTTTTTAGAATAAACCCAATAAACCCGAGATTCGCAGGAATAAGCGAAATGAAAAGATTGCCCAGGAGAGAGCAGAGCAGGAGAAGGTGCGGGCGGAGCGAGATGCCCGGGTAAAGGCCTACAAAAAGCAACGTTTGGAGAAGACCAAGGCGATCAGTAAGAAAACGCAGCGTGGACAACCGCTGATGAAGGATCGGATGCAGCTCCTGCTGAAACAGATCGAGGAGATGAAACGTCGCTAAGTGAGTGTCGCATTGTGGTCTACCTTGAACACCTGTACCTTCAATGGCTACTGATTGCAGTGCCTTGTATTTGTATGAAATGTCGTCCTATTCTCAAAATTACCTTGCATCAAGGTTGATTTTTATACCTTCAAATGTCGAGAATTAAAAAGTAGTAACTTAAAAAAACAACCCATCTATTGTCACATCTTTATTATAAAGGATAGAAGTAAGGGGTTCATACATATATCTATGAATATATCTATGTTATTTTAACCCACCTATAAACTTAATGATTCTGATACTTCTCCAGGATTTCGCCTACCTCTTGGGAGATTGGAAATATTTAGTTTTCCGCACACGCGCCCTGCACGAAAATTAAATCTAATGCAACCTGTAATAAATTCGCTTGTCGCGGGCTTCCGGTCGTGCGAATCAACCCTTTTTACTTTTCTTTTTCTTTTGCTATGCAAATTTACGCGGCAAATTGCCTTAGCGCCTTATCATTCTGCATCCTGCATCCTGCTAGCTGTACCTGCAGGAGTCACCCTCGTAGATCCTCGTGATTCCCTCGCGATTTAGCGCGAACAAAGCAATTTGCTTGACAGGCAGGCAGGCAAGCGCGCGATTCAATTTTCACCGAAATATTCGCAATAATAGTAAAGTTTTATGCTCATTCCGGTGGCACAACATCCGCTTCCGCACCCACTCCATAGAGCCTGGCCAAGAGGGGGGTTTCACTTGGGTCAACTCCAACCCCTTTTCCTATTTTTTTTGGAGTGACAATCAGCATGCGGTCTCATATCCGCTGAGAATGGTTCTGGGGGAAAGGCAAACAATACTTTCACTTGTGCGATATTGCAAAACTATTGGACCGCCCGCCTTCTCCTTAACCCGCTGCGCAACCCGTTGACACAAATCGCACTAAATCAAAAATTATACTTTGCACAAATACAGCGAGCGGGAGGATGCCGACGCGCAGGAAGTCGCTTGGCGATGGCCCTGTGGCCATAAATCTCATCTAGTCAAATATTGAATTACGCCGGATGAAGGCAGGGATGTGAGCCGGGAAAGGGTTCTCCTTCGATTCGCAGATCCAATTTAGTGGGTCAAAAGGATGATGTCCTTCCTCCCTTTTTGCTAGTAGTGTGTGACATTGCTTTGTTCTGTTTATTTAATAAAAAAAATTTGAAGTTATGAGTGCTCTCGAGGGTCGTTTATGTGTCGATAATGAATAGTTATGGCCGCTGACGCTGCTCCGAGGGCTGTGAGATCCCATTCGATGCGATTGTTAATGCTTTGTTTTGGGTCGCTTATAATGCAATTTATGCATGTTTATATACTCGAGTGGGGTGACAATGGGTTAAGGATGTGGCGTTTCAGCTGTTTTTCGGTCTTTTTCACACATCACTTTTGGTTTCATTGATGAAAACGAATGTGAAAGCAGCTGCAAGTTTATTATTGTTATGTAAATATTTATATTAAAAGGCGCTTAAAATATATTTAAAATGAATTTATTAATGTTTTATGGATAAAATTAAATAAAATTAAAAATCCATTGTTAATACGTAAATATTTATTATTTTAAGTAGGACTTTTGTTTTATCCATAAAACATAAATAAGAGTTCTTTGTGAAATATCTTAAAATCTATGAAAAGTTAGTACACCCCTTACCAAAATATTTTTTAATAATTTTGTATTAACTCCCAATTTACATATACGTTTTACGAATCTATAAAAACCATAGATGTCTCAGATAAGCAAAAAAAATACAACTAAATTGCCAAAGTACCAGCAATGATGGGCTTTTCCTGGGATTCACTGTGGGATTCACAAGTTCACCGGCGGCAAATCCAAGCTGATAACTGCTGCCAAGTGATGTCATTTAAATTCCGAGTCATCCTCAACAGAGACTCAGTCGTTGTTCTGCTCTAAGCTTAATAGCAAGACATCCGCTTTTATTTAACTATTAAAATGAAATACTTCAAGTTATGTTGGGTGCTGGTCATTGTGCTCTTAATGTGTTCGGAAGATGTCCTTGCGGCCCCAAAACGAAAGTCAAGGCCCAAGTTGGGAATCAAGCTGCCAAAAATCAACATAAATATTCATCACAATAGTAAGTTTTGAAATTGAATTTTGCTTAGAAGATTTATTTATGTTCGTTTTTCTTTAGATATTCACATTGGCTAGAGCTGGATTAACTTAATTCTATTAGGATTCAATGAATTAAAGGCAGTTTAGTGATAAATATTTATACCCCGCCGCATATGTACAAAGACATTCATTCATTAATTAATTATTAGTAAAGAAGTGTTTAAATAAATTGATAATATAGTGAAAAGTGCAAGATCAGTGCTTATTTAAAAATAATCTACTTACTTTGTTTTTATTTGTGATGCTGCTGAAATAATTTTCTATGATTAACGATGGAGTATTGAAGATGTTTTTGTTGAAAACGGTGTGTAAGAGCTTGTGAAACCAGTAAATTATTTATTGTTAAGCTAATCCTCCACCAAACTCAGTGTTAGTTCAAGTAAAAATATAATATTTCCCTATAGCTGTTTGAAATATATAAAAGCTTTGAATCATACAGCTAAAACTGCAGTTCCATGTGAAATATTTAATCATAAAAATCATAAAATTCATAAAAGTGGAATTTGTTATGGAAGAATTATTCAAGTGATTCGTTTTGTTTTCGTTTATGATGGTTTTGAACTTAATAAACATATTTTTAAAAATGCTTTCACAAGTTGCTAAACAATTCAAAATAATATAGAATTATTAAAAAATCCCCATGGATCATAAGATGTTTATGGCTAAACAAACGCAAATAATACAAATAATATTGACAGTCTCGCATTTGTTTGTGGTTTTAGTCTAGGTGATAAGACTTCTGGGAACATATTATTTTATTTATATTGGGTGATTCAACAGCTTTATAAATATTAAAAAAAAACAAGAAAGGAAACTAACTTCGGAAAGTCGAAATTTGCATACCCTAGCATACCCACTACATTAATCGATCATAACTAAGCCAAAAAAGCATAAAATTCAATTTGGAAAGATTTTCTATGCCAGTTTTTTATAGGTTAATAAATCTGCTTACTGAATTTTAAATTTCAAAAAATTAAAATTTTTTCAAATTTTTGAGAATTTTAATGATGTAACCCCTTATCAAATTTTCAAAAAAAATTGAAAAAAAAAATTTCTTTCCAATATGTCTAGAAAGATTCACCTGTTAATGCTGATCAAGAATATATATGGTTTATGGGGTCGGAAATGACTTTTTCATTGCTTTGCAAGCTTCAGACTGAAATTATAATGCCCTGGAAGGGTATAAAATCTAAGAAACATGTGTTTGAAATACTGAGATTTCCCCAAAACAAAACGTTATTAAACATTTATATTTTAATAATTTATTTAATAGCCTTCCTCCCACACCTTTATTTGAAATTCATATGTTTCAATGAAGACCTTCCCTAGGACTTTGTTTAAATTCCTCCGCCACATTTCTTGATTCCCTGAAATTCCCTGATTGTGTATAGCCAAAAGGAGCAATCTCAACCCTTCTTCTCACCCTGATGCGGACATGCGAAACTTTTGCATAACTCACTGGCTTTCCAATCTTGTTAACGATTCGGTATGCTAATTAAATTCCTGCCAATTCTCTGGCAAAGGAAAACAAGTGCCAAAAAGGGGGGAATTTTCACTTTCTCTAGAGAAAAAAAAAATCTGCTGTGAAATTAACACCCGAAGCCGAATGGCTGAGTCGGAGAGATTCGCTTTCACCGAACCGTAAAATGTTTTCCCCAAACATTTGCGACTTGATCCTGGAAAGGACCAACTTTTTGGCCGTGAATTTATGGCCAGTGGCGGAAGGGGGTTGATGCAGTTGCTCTCTTATCTGGCTGAAATATTAACGGTTTAGGCTTAATTACAAATGGCGACGCTGCCGGGCTCCCAAAATTAACTGCGACTTCTCTGAGGCGGAATGAGAGATTCTCGAGAAGATGGGGGGCCGTGGCGGGCGCCATTAGGGTAATTATTTACAACAATTTCAAATTTTACACATGGACGGACCGAAGCACAATAAAATGGCGCCACAAAATGTTTTGCATGCATTTTCCGTGTTCGTTTCGCTTCGGTTTTGGGGGTTCTGTTCTGTTTTTCAAGTGCTGCGGCTCATAAATTACAAAAGTGCGGGCTGTAAATCACGGGACTCCGCCTCATCCCAGACCTTAGATCACACCCCTTTCGTTTTCTGCATGTAAATTTTCAAAATTTTCAACAATTTGCAACACTCTTTATTTTGTTTTTTGGCAAACACGTGACCGTCACTGGTCGGGGGGGTAGTGTGAACACCAAGAGAACCCTTTGAGGGCTGTGCATAAATTTCAATTAAAATTGAAAAGCCATGAAAAATAAAAACCCCCCCGGAGGAGCACCACAGCAGCAGTGATAGCCATGAAAAGTTTTTCGAATGCAGTCAAGTCCGGGGTTGCTGGGGGGCGATTTTAATTGTGGACAGCCAGCAGGAGCAGGTGCAGGCATGCATGAAAGTGGCCCAGAGCCACCAGTTTTTCAATTAAAACTCGAAAATATTTCCAATAATTGCCGAATAAGTGAAACTTTGTCAAGGCACCCCCAACACCAGAGATCGTAAAAAAGGGGTTAAACATGCTTTCGAGGAATGCCAGGACTTTGGTGAGAGTATCAACTGCCAATAGTGGACACTTGGCGGAGGATTTAAGACTTTATTGAGTGAAAGAAGATGACCATCTGTTTAATAAATGTGATTTCGAGCATTTTGTAAATAATTCTTCAGCTTACAAAATATAATGACACGTGCAAACTATTTTAAATATAATTAAAATTCTTTTGAAATAATTTTAAAGTCATTTCCTAATACAAAAATAACAAATTTCTACTAAAATCCAACTAATAAATATTAGGAATTCCTTGGTTTTTTTGTATTTAAATTCCAGCTAATGTATACGATTTTATGATGCTATAAAAAATACAAAAAATACACAGATAAGCAGAAAATATATACAATAAAATCTTCGATTTCCATGGAATCCACTAGAGAATTCAATTCCATCTACAATCAAAGCTGATAACAGCTCCTATTTAAATAGCAAAGCAATCTCAACCAGAAAATCATTCGTCGCTCAACACTCAAATCGAAAGCTTTTTTTTATTTATTATAAAACAAAAACTATTAAAATGAATTACTTCAAATTCTGCTGGTCTCTCGCTGTTGTGGTCTACACCTGCTCGGAAGATCTACTTGCCTTGCCCAAGCGACGATCCAAGCAAAAAGGATCCAGGCTGTCAAAAAAATCAACATGAATATTAACCACAAAAGTAAGTTTTAAACTTAAATTCTGAAAAAAAAGAGCAATGATTTATTTATTTTTCTTTTCTTTTTTTTAGAAATTCACATTAATTAAGGCTGGATTCTATGGAGTCACCTCTTACATTTCTAATTAAATTAAATAATTTAATTAAAATATATTCACCGCCACAAATGTACAAATATTATGTCCATTAATTATTAACTATATTAGTAAACAGTATTATAATTAATTAATTAAATAGTCAAAAATGCAAAATCAATGCATACTTATATAATATATGATGTAGTTTTGGTTTTATTTGTGAAGTTGCTAAAGTGTTTGAATGAGATTTATCAATCTAGAGAAATTAAAGAAATTATGTATTTTTATAAATTTTACTTTCCATTAATTAATATATTTCATTCCAATAATATCTTACAATGTTTAAAACTTCAAGCAAAGAATCAATTCTCAAATCTAAAACACACTCAAAATAGTAGAAAATCTCCCCCTTTGTTCAGTGGCATATTTCACACCTCAGCAGATCGCAGTAAATCCGGAGGACTTGCCATCTATCATACTCTTCAGCCAGGACTCACTTCCGATACTCATCTGCAATCAGCTTTGGCTCCGGCAACGACAAATGTCAAAACTATAAGCTGACACTAAACCAATGCGGCACTTCAGCAGCCAGCGGTAAACGTTGAGGAGCAAACATCAAACACTAGACCAGGACAAAGACAAAGGGGGTTGCTGCTGCTGGTCACCCCAGTCCATTGTCCTGCCCTCAGAAATTGCTCTTTAACTTGCAACAGCGAGCGGCTAACAAGCGACGCGTGCCGCTTCCTGTTTTCACACGCAACCAAAGACTCGAGTACAGTTGCCTCCGTCGATGAAAGCTCCTGAAGGCGGAGCTGTACTTTTTTGACAAGCATGAATGTTATATAACCTCACAACGAGGCATGACATAATTCACTTCCTGCCGCATCATCATCGTGTCGGACCGCCCCTAACTCAGTTTAAAGTCGCATAACTCTCAAATTAAAGTGACCATGCGACAATTTTCAATTTCCACATTGTCCATAAATCAAATTGCGTTTACGATGAAAGTTAGCCAAGGGGCATCAGCGGGAAAATCGGGGCGGCACTACAACACACGCACATTGGGGTGAGGGTTCAAAAGCGTCAGCACTCGTACCTTTTGATGGGTTTATTGAAAAACTGTCCTGAATTTGTTGTCTACTCTGTACGAGAGGGGATAATAGTTATGGAATACAGTTGGAAAACAATAAAAGGGGAAGTAATCATTGAAAAACTATGGTTTTTAAACAGGAAGATGGACTATTATATTAAATTGTTTGTATTTGAAGGAACTCAGTACAAAATACAAACATAACTTAATTTAAAAACCTTACAAAAACCCAATCTAAAGATCTAAGCTCGACGATTTTAAAGGGTATTAAAAAATATTCCCAATCTCAAAAACTTTCCACTCCTCCATCCCCGTTTTATTTGTTTGTTTTCATGTTTTTGTTCCTTGTTTTTTGGGTGGTTTGGGTGTTGACACAGCAAAGATAAGGCCCAGAGTGAAGGTCCTGTGGTCCATGTGCCATGTGTGACAGTTATGAGCATCTGCGATTCAATTTAATCAGAACTGCTGGCAAATAGCCCCTGACTTTGCCTGTTTTTTGGGGCAAAAAACACAGCAAATAATCGCATTAGGACCTCTCAAGAGAAGCCCGGAGATGTTATACTCCATGTGTCAAAATTTTCGCATCGATAAGAGATCTAAGAACCGCACGCACATGTGTCAGAGCCAAACTGAAATGTGATTAGCCGGGCTTTCTGGTGGAAAGTTTTGAAATTCAATTTTTAAATTGGCCCACAACTGGTTGGGGTATTTTACTCCCCAAGGAACCACCCCGGAGACACCAAGAAAGGTTCATAAATTTGGCAAAAGTCTTAACATGTCAGCGACACTTTTCCCCAAACAAGGTCCAAACTTTATTCAAATGCCAGGAAGCAACAGGAAGAGCCTGGGAATGGGCTGCAATTCCAAGTTGGACTTTCTTAATGTCTACAAATTCCTGTCGGCAAATCCAATACAAAGCCCACTGACTTTGATTTATCACGGCGGGGTGTGGTATTTTTAATTTACAAGAGTCGGGAGTCCGGAGTCCTCCCTTCCTGCCAGCAGTTAACCCTTTGAGACTGCCTGTCTGCATAATTATGTCTCTGGGAACCGCAAATTTATGGACCTGCCAACGTCTTGCTCCTGAACTTTGGCTCTATCAAATGGGCTTTCTTGTAATTGGCTATGGTCTGGGTTTACTTTCTGGTTGGAATATGTCTAGTTCGGATCTTAAGTAGGTGGTTTGGTCAAGTGGCCAGTCTGGGACATGGTTGATTAATTTGTGGTGGGATTTTGAACACAAATTGGCAGCTGGGATATTGTTCTTTAAAATAAAATCACAAATGAGGCTTCTGAACCAATATTTTTATCTAACTAGATAGATAGTCTCGGAGATCCAAGTGTTCCAGAACCAAGTACACTCTCAACCTGCTTACTTTTAATCACTTCTTAATTTTTTCTTTCCCCCAACTTGACTAAATGAATTGCCGCCAAGACTTTTAGCATAAATTAACAATACCTTGTGGCCATATTTTACACAACTCTTGGGCGGAATTTATTGCTGAGCTCTGAAAGGAACACCCACTCCAGGGGAAAAACCACAAATGATGACTGCATCAAGTGAGGGAAAACCCCTGGGTAGGGGGAATGACAATGCTCGAGAGCAATGCCTGTAAAATTCTATGACTTCGTAACTAATTAGCGCAGCCCATAAAAACAATGAAGGCACCGCAGCAGCAACCCTCTGCGCTCAGCAAAGCCATCCTCCTCACCACTTTTCTAATGAAGTTTGACGTGCTGATGTGCGGTGACGTTGACGAGGATTTTCCAGCAGCGGAAAATTCGCAGTCAACAAGTGAAAGTCAGCCCGCGGTGATGATGATGATGATGTCGCTGTGACGGAGGAGGACTTTGTTGAGGAGCCATAAAATGCATTAAAATTAAAAACGTGTTAAAATGCTCAAGAACAACTTGCGTAATATTTTTAATGAGCTCTTAATGAGGACGTTTGACCAAATCAAGGAGCAAAAACCCGCGCACCGAAAATAATTTGCGTCTCATTTGCTCCCAAAAAAAAAAAAAATCGTAAATTATAAACAAATTTTTAATGAAAAAAAAAGTATATTTCTATCCGGCATATGCTGCGGATCTACGCCCTTCGATTCGAATCCGTATCTGTGTGTGACTTTTGTTGCTGCCCATAAATTATGTAAATTTCCATTCGAAATTCAAAATTAAAAAAAAAAAAAGCGACGAAAAAAACGCTGTCCTGCTGCTCTAATAAGGGTGAAGGGTCACGGAATACACAGCAAATGGCAAAGGGGCTGAGGGGGCGTGGCCAGTAAACATCATAAAAGTGAGAAATATGCCTCTTATTTTTGTATTTTGTAATTTGTTTTGTAATTCTGCGCCTTTTTGTTCTGAAATATGAGGAAAAAATTGCCACATTTACCCGGAAAAAAGGAATGGGTATCCAGGGGCAAATGGATTTTTTATTCGATTTCCCACCCCATCGTGGGAATCCCCGCTTTCCGGCGGGGGTTAACCTTTACTAAGTCTGGGATTTTGGTCCTTTCTATCCTTCACTAGCAACTGTACAAATTGGATGAGACAACCTGTGCAGGTTTAGAGCGGCAGCGGAACAGGGAAAAGATGCATAGATACGTAGTTACTTTTCGGTAACCGCGGCAGCTCACATAAATTAAGGAGGCAGCCAAGGATGTGCCGGGGGAGAGACATATGCAAAGGCGTGACTACGCCAACTCTCAGGTAAAATTTATCGGGGAAAACGGAAGCCAACACGAACGAGGGACACTCGACTGCAGGGTTGAGAAAAATGGGTTTTAGAATTACTTGTAGTTTAAGTACAAGTTTAAAAAAATGGGTTTTCTTATAAGGATTAATTGAATTTACTAAATTCTTTAAAGATAGTTCAAAAAAGATCTTAAAAGAAGTTGAAATAATATTGCTAACACTTGTAATATGTGAGAAATCCTTTAGAAATCCTCTATTATTTCCTTAATATTTCAACATCTAAAGAATAAAATAATAAACAGTTTGTAATTTTATCTAAAAGTTCAAATCATAATTTGTTTTCTCGTTTGCAATTTTCTCTAAAAATTCAAATCAGAATTTGTTTTAAAGTTACAAATAAATACCACAAACACTAACAACTATCCTTCTGAAAATCTCATATGTATTTATTACTTCCCTAAAATTTTCCTTAATTTTTGTTGTCCTGTGTAATTAACTAACGGCTGCTGTGCAAAAGTCGACTGCAAGTTCTTTTGTGGCTGCGCTTAATTTTTAATGCCTCGCCATGAAATTTATTGGGCCGCCACAAATTTGAGTTAATCTGCGAGCTGCCAGCGGGCTTAACAGACTCAGGACAGACTGTACGCCAAGTTGGGCAAAGGATTCCGGAAGTTATCAGGGGGTTCTTCAACAGGACACGCCACCAAAGGAGTGAGACTTTCATGAGGAGGAGAAGCTGCTTTGCGACAGTCTCATTTAAAGTCCCAACTGAAATCAGCGTTGATTTAATTTCAACTGTCAGGAGAGTTAAGGAGTTGAGGCGTTGTCCTGCCGGAAGGGGCGAGGTGCGATAAGTGCTTTTCAATGCCCAGTGAAACGTTGGTATCTGGACTTTTTTGCTACGCTCTGCATTCCTAGTGAGAGATTCCTCGACATGCCATCAATCAATTGGCTGGCTAACGAGTGGCATGTCCTGTGTCCCCATATGAGTCCTCCATAGAGGGATTCTAAATGAGAAAAAGAGGAAAAAAAACAAACCAGCCAGAGCACGTAATTTCGCTTTGTCCTGGCTGAGGTTTCCAACTCATTCAACTCTTCATTCCAATCATTGACAGTCGAGCAAGAGCGATGGGTTCAGGCAGGACTTGGAGGGGGTAGAACAGGAAACTTTCACTGTTTAACCTTTAAAATTATTCCTTTAAAAGAGTAAGAATATTATTATTAAAATAACTAATTCCTTGGTAAAGAACTTACCCCAAGACAACTTTAAATTGCGTCGCTTAGCCCAGGACACCATAAATATTTATTAATGAAATTAACTGAGCTCGCAAAATTCAAATTGAAATATCAACGCAACGTAATTAAAATTCATGGTGAACTCCTCTCAGAGGGTGGCCTTCTGGCATTTGCTGGGAGTACACCCCCAACGCTTAGCATGATGGACGAGCAGAAGAAGGGTTCTGGTTAAATTTTTTGGCCCATTTGCATATGTCTTGCCTCCGGAATGATAGCCTTAATTGGTG